AACTGTAGTCGGAAAATTAGTAGAGGTTTTTAGTAACCTTATTCAACTGTAGTCGGAAAATTAGTAGTAGGTTTTTAGTAACCTTCATTAACTGTAGTCGGAAAATTGGTAGTAGGTTTTTTTAGTAACCTTCTTCAACTGTAGTCGGAAAATTAGTAGTAGGTTTTTAGTAACCTTCATTAACTGTAGTCGGAAAATTAGTAGTAGGTTTTTAGTAACCTTATTCAACTGTAGTCGGAAAATTAGTAGTAGGTTTTTAGTAACCTTATTCAACTGTAGTCGGAAAATTAGTAGTAGGTTTTTAGTAACCTTCTTCAACTGAGTTGGTTTTTAATTTATCAACTTAAAATACTTTATTCTCCAGTGCTTTATTTTATGAACGTTTGATTTTCTGTGTAATTTGTAGCTCAGTCACAATTAAAGATATGCTAGAGAACCTAGAACATTTTACTTTCTTGCTATTTGATGTTGTTTCTGAGTGCATTCCATGTGATGTATTTGTTTTATTAATCTTCTTATGCTTATATTTATTGTCGTAAAGAAGGTGTTTTTACACATTTTCATTATTTAACATAACGATATTGTTAGACATTCAATTAACTAATTATTTTTCAGTTAGTTATATTTAGGTAATTGATATTAGACTGATATTATTTTAACACACTTTAATAAGTCTATAACTATCAAATATTAAAATAAAAGTACTTAAAATATAGCTTATACACTTAATGACAGGACGATCTTGAAGGAAGAGTTTTAGTTTTATCTAAAAAACATCTAAATTACAAACGGAATAACTTTACGTCGTATTTGAAAATTAAAATCAACGTTTGATAAAATCAATAAAATTGAAATGCTATGTTTGCCATATGTCTCTGGTTTATCTTGCCAAATCTTTCAGAAATTTAAAAAGCAATGTAAAAACATTATTCCGATTTATAAACCTTTGAATAAAGTTAGCCAAAAACTAAGGATGTAATTACTCTAATGAAAAAAACAAACAGATATTTATAAAATTGAATGTGAATGTAGAAGTGTATACATTGGTCAAACTAAAAGAAATTTAAAATTTAGAATAAACCAACGTAAAATAAATGTTAAAAATCAAAGTTCAATTTCTGCATTAGCTAAACATTTACGTCATACTCGTCATATCATTCGGTGGGAAAAACTGTTATCTTGGTTCAACCGAATGATATTACTACTAGGAATATCAGAGAATTTATTGAAATAATTAAACACAATAACAATGGCCAAACTTTGAACAAAGATGTTAGCAGAATATAATAAGATTGACAGTGCAGACAAGCTAAAGTTCGACGTAATGAACTCTGGTATGTTAGAAGTATATAATAAGATTGATAGTGCAGACAAGCTAAAGTACGACGTATTGAACTCTGGTATGTTAGCAGTATATAATAAGATTGATAGTGCAGACAAGCTAAAGTACGACGTAATGAACTCTGGTATGTTAGCAGTATATAATAAGATTGATAGTGCAGACAAGCTAAAGTACAACGTAATGAACTCTGGTATGTTAGCAGTATATAATAAGATTGATAGTGCAGACAAGCTAAAGTACAAC